AGAAAACTCAAATAAAACCAAACCAAAGTTTGAATATAAACGGAGCAAAATCCGAGAAAGCCGAAAAAAGAGAAGTCCACACGCAGGTGGCCTAATGTTAGTGTTATATACTAAAAGGTTGGCTTTGGATGATATTATACTTTTTCCCTTTATGAATGAGAATAATGTTAGATTAAACAAGTTTCTATGTTCTGTTGTTTTGCACTTAGATAGAACGGGTCATAATCAGGTGAACAGAAGATCATTCTATCAATTACTTGCGAAACAATAATTGTGGTTCACAACCTAGATGGAAATGAACACCTCATCCGAACGGTTGTAGTGTCAACAGTACAGTTGGTCTTGACTGATTAGTTGCACTAGTACATTTATGTATTGAACAGGATCCAAGAGAGGAGAAATTCGTTTTATACTGATCGTCGTAAATGAACTAGGCCTCGGTTAATTACTGTGTTCTCCTAACCCGTAAGATATTAAACAGACATATATATGCAGTACATATTACTTTGATTCACTTGGGTGAGGTTCAGTTTGCTGGACTAATATTCCTACTATCTTGGGTAATATTGTTGTATGTATGATTTGTTGTTAGGATATTTACAATCACCATGTACGTTTAGTTTGATGGTGTCCCCGAAGTGAGTTCATGAAGGATTGTTATGCTAAACCCTGCAGGTGGATTAAGTTCTGGCATAATAATAATGTGATTAACGAGCGCTAGTTTTGGTAATAATAAAATATATTAATTAATTCTTAGTTGTCAGTAATCGAATTATTAATGGACATTTTATATCTTAAACATGGGGAGGTAAATCGAGTAATTATTATTGGAGTCTCAAATGTAATTTGGGCTAGGAAAATAGAGTGCAATAATATTACGTTAGTGGACCATAATATTATTTAAGTAATTGGAGGAGTAGGCTTGACCCAGAGTTAGTCCATTACTTAAGAAGCCCTATTCCTATTCTTCTAAGGATCCCTACTGTAGCTCTATATATACATCATTAAGCTTATGAGAAGGGTAGAGATCATTAGACTCGTGTGAAATACACGCCGCCCCATACACTCTCTCTCTAGATCTCATTCGAGTTTTATCTTCTTCTTGTTGCTCCACTGGTACAAGTTGAAGAGGTGTTTGAGTAATACAGTAGAAGATCCCGAGGTAACTGAGACATATATTGATCAACCCCGGAGATCCACCGGAGCCGATCGCGACAAGCCCAGCCCCGCCGAACCACCGCTGCGACGAGCCGGAGCAACCGCCGTGACCGACCGCCGCCGATCGCGACTCGCTGGCGACCCCGCGATCCGATTCCAGCGAGCTCCACGCGACCCACACGACCGAGTCGATCCCACCATTCGTTTGTGTGCTATTCCCATTCATCCCGAATCAGACAGATTCAGAAAATTTTAAGCCGTAAGTTTTCTACGTCACACCTTTAGATCCGTTGGGCATATGTTTACGTTTTCTATTGAATTCATAACTTGTACATAACGAGATCCTCATAGATCCCAACACCTAAAACAATAAACAAACCAAGAGAGTCTAAAGCAATTAACAAATAACTGAGACTAAAGACTCTCTAATCCAAAGAGAAAAAACAAAAAGAAGAGTCAAAGTAAAAGACTTCCACTGATCAAAGATCCGGGACCATCCTCAACTTTGTCTTCCTCTGTCCTAAACAAATAGCCAATGAGCCTCCTCGAATTCAATACCGTCCTTTAGAGCAGCTTCCACAATTAGAGGAGTCGGCCTCGAAACACCTTCAAACATCCACAAATTCTGGGATATTCCAAAGCCACCATAAAATATATGTGGAGAGCTGGCCCTAGCTTCAGAAGTGTCCCAGTTATCAAGCTTTGAGATGTGCCACCACCAGTCCTTCACAGAGTCCCGACTCTTAGGCCCCTCCCAAGAGATAAGAGCTAATTTCCAAACTAAAGCAGCCTTGGGATAGAGAAACATGACATGTTCAACAGTTTCCTCAGATAGCCCACAAACTTTGAAAATATGGTCAACCAGGCCTTTCCTTTTCAAATTCACACTCACGGGCATAATTCAAGAAATGCATTTCCACACCATATGTTTAATCTTACCCTTGAACTTCAATTGCCACAGTCTACTTCTAGCCTTTTGGTCGTTGATGGCAGTCTACTCCTAGCCTTTTGCCCTTCGATCCCCAATTATCTTATCGAACAAACTTCTATGGCATTCATCTTTTCTTAATCGAACATTGTCCTATGCCAAATCTATCACCGAACCCTCCGCCTCGGACAAGGATATGTTCGTCAATTTGCTCTCAATGTCTTCTTCTCCCCCTAATTCCCCTTTATCACCCATCCCCAATTTGGAACCCTACCCTCGCTCAATCCTCCCTCACACAGAAATAGCAACAAAAAAGCCCCTGGAACTACCTGCACTACCCCTGGATAACCCCTGAAGCCAATCGATCCTGCTCTCAAGAAGAGAATCATGGAATCTTTCACCTGAAAGACGATAGAACTCTCAAACGAGAGAATCCTCTAAGCCACATATTAGTTGACAAAAGTAAAAAATAAAAAAAATCTCACCTTTTGTTTTCTTGACTATTTCTTGAAATTGGGAGTTGAATAATATAACGTGACACACGAAATTTAGTGTGCCCTTGTGTTTTGTTCCCGAAAGTTTTCTTTGTCTGCTTAAGTTTTGGTGGCCTTCTTGTTTTGAATTTATAATGAAATGTTGATGGTGGGATGTCATTAGATAAGAATGCCTTTACGGGCATTGAAGGGATTGGTGAGGCTCCATCCTCTAGGCCATAGTCCATGGCCGACAGGTCTAAAAACAAAGTTGCGGTAACACTTGGGTGCTTGCAGGCTCTTGTTCGCATGGCCAGGAAAAAGCCCCGTTGTGTGCGTGTATGTTGGATATTTTTTCATGTTATTGTAGTGATGATTTTGTGATCATTAATATTAAGTAATTTCAAAGCAATTTGAGGATGCACCCAAATGCCAAATATTTGTTTAAAACTTATATTCTTGTAATTTTTTATTTTCCACATTAATTTTCAGATATTGAGGGCATGCTTGTTTATGAAATTTTAATAACTAGAGTTAAATGAGTTATTTTGATTAACTAGAGTTAAATTTGAAAAAGGTGGTAGAGTTAGTTGTTAGTGAGATTTTAATAATGTATTATAATAATATTTAAAATAAAATGATTATTATTTTTTTTTCAAACGATAGATTTTATAAATGCACACGAAAATACAACCGGTTCACTAACTGGAAAAGAGAGGTCTACCACTGAACGTAGCCTAAATTACAACACACTACAAAACACACAAAAACTAAAACCCCACTAATGAGGAATACACACTCCCCGGTGAGAGAATTCACACTCCTAAAGAGGAGAAAATAACACTGACACACTCAAACAACACTGACACCACACAACAAAAAAACCTCAAATAAAGCAACACTAACAACACAACACAAACAGAACAAAAAAGAAGGCAAAACAATTAACACTAAGCCCTTCCCACAGCACAGTGAAGCCAAACCGAACACCAACGACACCGACACCCAAGGCTGACTACCCACCCTGACAAGACCCGGTCCAAGCCGCAAATCCAGAAACTGCAGATAAATCACCTAACCAAATCTGAGACTAAAGAACCCAAACCCTCGCCCGGGTAGACAACCCCAAGACCCACAACCGGAGATCCACAACATACTCCACCTCCCAATACCCGACAACCCATGTCCAGGACACAAGACCCACCCCGACCCGAGCCGACTCCACTAACACAACCCAAAGGCCCCAAAAGCAGAGCAAAACGGGAGAAGGGAGAAGAGTGAAACCGCCCCAATCTCAGTCCCGACTACCACTCCGCCAACCTTCGAGGGGATAATAGGCGCCACATCGTCACTCACAGCCACGCCGACAGCCCGCCACCACCCAGACTCCGAGAAGAACACGGGATCCAGACCCACCTTAGCAACATGTAAGACGGCGAAACCTAAGGGGAAGACCCGCATCGCACCCGATGAAAAGGCCACAGCCACGACCGACGTCACTGGGCTTCGACTGCACGGCTCGGAGGACGCCGCCGTCGTGGTGGCCCGAAGGCCCTGCTGAGAGAATGCATGCAGATTAGCGAATTAGGTTTTCTGTGATTATTATTATTGATTTGATGTAAAAGTAGGAAATAAATTATTGAAAATGAAAGGTATAGTTAAAATTATGTGAGTGAATGGATAGTGAATTAAAGTTGATGTGATATGTAAGAATGATTAATTTATAATATTTAATTATATAAATAATATTAAGGATAATGGGGTTGAGTTAGATTTCGAGTATGAAATAAATGTGAGCAAATTATTTCATAAGCAAGCATGCCCTGAACATATTACTTTACACATATATGGCAAAAAAGTTCTTATGGATGAAGTTTGACAAAGTTTAAGCTAAACTTTTTTTAAAGACACAAAAAGAAAATAATAATAATAAATATATGAAAATTATCGATTAAATTTGGGCCGAAAGCCAACTAGTAGATAGATTAACGGCTAAAAGACATATATAAACTGTCTATAAGATTCATTTCCATTAGATGACCTCCTATATGGGAATTCCGAAAACGCCTGAACACATTCCTGAACCAAGATAAATAGACGGTTACATAAAATAATTAATAAAATAAAACAAAAAATTAAAACAGAATTAAAAGAGAAGTTTCAAAAGACGTGGTGTTTAAAAATTTGAAAAGGCACGGTTTTTATCGCAGTTTTACAGACAGGGTTTTTAGCCCAGTTTAACAGAGGAAAAAATAACTGAATCTGAAAAAATAAAAAAACTGAGAATATAGATTTGAAAGCACCGAAGAGAAAAAATCGATAGACAACAGAAAAGATACTCAGATTATGTAAGTTTATAAATATAATTGTATTATTATTTATTGATTAAGTCCTCTATTGATTTGTTTTCTTTTTATTTATTTTTTTGTTTTTGCAGAGAGATGAGCAATGAACTGCTTCTAGTTCATTACAATGGAAATTGGACGACAGAGATAAAGTATGAGGGATACGAGGTTTGTGGCATTCATCACAAAGAAACAGAGACCTTTGATGAATTAGCTGAAGGTCTAAAAAAGATGGTGAATATTAATTCATCAAGAACAAGGTTGGAGATAAGGTATCAAATCAGAGAAGGTTACAAGCCAATAACCGTGAATAATGATATGAGTTTGAAGTTTCTGAAGGAATTGAAGAAGGTAGAAAATGACTACACAAAAATTCCTCTTTGTGTGACATTCGAAGCAGTGGAAAGGCATGAACTTATCCTGGAAAACTTTGCAAGGGGAAATGAAAATCTTCCAATTGAGGTACAACCACTTGAATTAGTTGCACATGATTTTTTCAACACTGATTATGATGTAAATAATGAAGTGGTTGAGATTGGCAAAAAATGTTCAAAAACTTTGTTGGAGGTAGCATGTGAAACGATGGAATTTTTGGAAGGAAAGCATAGCAAGGAAAATGTTTTGAGCAATTGTAATGGTGGAGACAGAATGATTGAAGCAGGTCAAACCTTCCCCAACAAGGAAGAACTAAAGAAGTTCTTAAGCTTGTATGCCATTAACAATCATTTCCAATATATGGTCGAGAAATCATGTCAAAAGCAATATTATATAAAGTGCATTGACAAGAGCTGTCCATGGAGATTAAAGGCTTCGAGAATCGGCTGCGCGCCAACATTCAAAATCCGAAAAGTAAATGATGAACATAGATGCAGTTTTGGATGCAGGATGAATGATAAGAGGCAAGCAACGGCAAACATTATTGGACATTGTATTGAGGACAAGTTTGAAAACTTGAAGACCACTTATACACCTGCCGACATTATTCGAGACATGAAAAAATTGTGCGGTGTTAATTTGTCATATAAAAAAGCATGGCGTGCAAGACAAAAGGCTTTGGAAAAAGTATATGGCCATCCTTACAAGTCATATCAGCTGCTGCCGAGATATCTAGAGGAACTTGTTGATGCAAATCCAGGTTCTATAATGAATCTCAAAACAGACAGTGCACACAGGTTTGAGTATGTGTTTATATCACTAGAAGCTTCAATCAAAGGTTGGGAAAATTGTCGACCAATAATTATTGTCGATGGTACATTCCTAAAGGCAACCTATGGTGGGATGCTGATAACAGCTAGTACTCAAGATGCAGCCGGGCACACATTGCTACTTGCATATGGGGTTGTGGATTCGGAGAACAACAACGCATATATATGGTTCTTCACGAACTTAAAATCGGCACTACAAGAAAGAACTGGTCTTTGCTTTGTTTCTGATCGTCATAACAGCATTAAAAATGCCATTGGAAAGGTATATATTAATATTTTACATTTTCTTTTAAATAAAAAATTGATTTTTAATTTCTAAATTGAATATTTGATATTAAGATAGAAACCAAAAAAAAATCTTGAGGAAACATAGAAAAAATAAAATATTTTTTATGATCATTAAATTAGTGTTAAAAATTTGTAAAACTTAATTTATGAATTAATATGCAGGTATTTCCAGAAGCAGCTCATTGTTTTTGTACCTACCATTTGTCGAAGAATATCGTGAGAAACTACAAAGAAAATCTTGAAGTAGTGAAAGGTGCTTTTTTTGCAGCCGCGTATTCATACCGAAAGGATGATTTTAATGATCATATGGAGACAATAAGGAAAGCAAACTTGAAGGCATTTGAGTTTCTGACGAAAACAATTGGTGTTGAAGAATGGTCTCGAGTGCACTGCCCGTCAAATCGATTTTCCGTAATGACATCTAATGCTGCAGAGACTATAAATTCAACCATGAAAGTTGCAAGAGAGCTGCCAATCACAGGTTTGTTGGAGAGTGTACAAGAAATGCAACAAGGCTGGAATGTGAAAAACAGGAAAGAAGCACAAAACACATTCACAAAGCTTGCAAAATTGGGGCAAAGAATGATTGAAGAAAATTATAGGTTAAGTATGAAGTACACTGTAAGTATGATATTTGATTATATTAATTTTATAATTTTATTTGTTATATACACAATGATGAATTTAATGATATTTTTGGTTGAAAAAGCAGGTGCACCAAGCAAGTGATGATATCTATAGAGTGAAATTTGGAACTCAAATTTTCATAGTAGATATGAAAAAGATGACATGTACTTGTAATAGATTTCAAATGGACGAACTCCCGTGTGCACATGCATTAGGAATAATGAGAGGTAAACATGAAGAGCCCGAAGATTATTGTTCTCGCTACTACTACACAAGCACTTTATTGGCAACCTATAATTCAACGGTATTCCCAGTCGCATATGAGATGAGAAAAGATGGTTTTAGTGCAAATATTGAGGATTTAATAAAACCACATGAAGAAATAACACTAACTGGGAGGAGAAAAAAGAAGAGATTCATCTCAGCATGGGAGAAGGGAAGCAAAAGAATGCGAGTGTAGTTGTATGTGTTTCGTATTATATATTATTGTTATTTATTTGTTTCTTTTTTATTTGTGCAATTCCTACTTAAAAGTATGATATGCTGAACAAATGAATTATAATTAATGTATTTTTGTATTTTTGTTGTCAGTACTGTTATATAACAGAAATATATCTCCATAAAATAAGTATATAGAAGGGGGAAAAAATTACAATATTGATTGGACTTGAATCTTTGATTTGGGATATTAATAGGATAAAGACGACATAAGTTGAGTTATGGTAGAAATATTAACTAAGTGGTGAAGTTTATAATGTAGCAATGAAGATCACAATAGAATTAAAAAGAGATGCTTTAAAAAAATTGACAAAATTAATCTAACAAAAGTAATCTGGATAGTGAAATATATTAAGATAAAAAAGAGGTAATGAAACAATTATAAGAAACGTGTGTGATATGAACAAAATGTGAAATGTGTAATTGATAGAAACAATGAAACAAGTATAGAACCCAAGTGTCATAAGAACATAAACTGAACGTGAAAAGTTAAACAATGAAACAATAATAAATTGAAGTAAAGGTAAATTTATTGTTAAAAAAAACATCTTATTAACAACAAACCAACAAGAAATAAACAAAGACGTGTGTGAATATAATAATAAAAAATAAAAACCGTAAAAAAACCATAAAATTGAACGTTTGTTCAAATTTAAAAAAAAAAAATAAAACCGCCAAAAAAATTTGTATTCCATTGTAATCAGGAACGTATGATTCGGAAACAAAAGAAACATTGAAGGAAACAATAAGAAGCTATATATAAAATGTAAACAAATTTTATATATGTCCACACGGTGTCATTTCTTCATAGATTAACTCTTGTTGTTTTAACAAATGACCAAAATTTGGGGGTTCAAAATGGTGTCTTAAGCCCGTTTGCGAGGCCCATATTGAGCGCTTGGTGTATGAATAGTAGATTCAACCCAATCTATTGTGGCCTCTCATACGCATTCTCATATTTATGTAAAGTATGTATCAGTTGGGTTGATCACATGGGCTAAATGTATGTAAATTTTCAAAAAAATTTCAATAATTTAACTCAATCATTTTTTTTTTTAACTCAACCACACTCTCATCAATATTATCAATATAATTAAATAATATCAATCAATCATTCATACACACCACATTAATCTTAATTCACTATTCACCCACTCACATAATTTTAACTAACCATCACTTCAAATCATTTCTCTCATACTTTTACATCAAATTAATTTTAATTATTTTATTTTAAATATTATTTAGTATACTTACTAACAACTAACCATATCACATTTCTCAAAATTAACCAAATCAAACCAAAAAATCGAAACAAAACAAAAAATTTCTATAAACAAGCATGCTTATTTCCCAACCAAATAAAGGTCAGTATTTAGCTAAGAATAGATCTAGAAACTTAAACTTAGGAACATATGTCAAACAAATTGAAATACAAATAAACTTTATGACTGTTTCGTTTGACCCATACTCAGATCTTACTGGGGCCCAGCCCGCTTAACCTAAACCCGATTCCACTAGCTAGTAAATGAATAAAATATTTGTATAATGAAGATGGATTATAAAGAATTACACAACAAATCAGAAGCTCAGATTCTGAGACAACCTCCCGAATCCAAAAATGATTTAATCATATTTATGGGATTAATTGAAATTACACATGGTGAGCTTCAGTCCCTTTACTTCACTTTTTTAATTTACAAATCAGCCCCTAATTGAACCCATTCATTGTATTTCACCAAATCACCTGCCTGTGATCATTCTCTTTTTACCATAAAATCTTGTATGCACCAACCAACGAAACTTGTACTTTAAATAAACACCTTTTTT